CATCGCGCTGTCTATATTACCCATAAGGTAGATTACTATTTTTCCTCAATAGCTCTATTATCTCGCGGTTCTCCTCTGAGATTAAGTTCTCCCTCTCTATTCAATTTGCTGTTGTTTTTTCTCTTTTCCCTTTTCTTTCTTTCTTTCTTCCCCCCCCCTTTTTTTTTTTTTTTTTTTTTTTTNTTTTTTTTTTTTTTTTTTTCCCCCCCCCTTTTTTTTTTTTTTTTTTTTTTGGTCTGGGCATTCCCCCCCGCAGAGAAAGCAATCAGAGAGGTATCCGCTGACTGAACAGGTTTATTCTTCACCCGAAGTTTAGATCCCTTGGACGAAAGGAACAGCTGCACAGTTAACCCCCCAGCTACTGGGGCAGTCAATGCTGGCAGCAAAGATTTCAGGATTTAACTTCCTGCTCCCAGCAATCAATAGAGGAGTAAGCAGAAACGGATGCAAAAAAAAAAAAAAAGAAAAAAAAAAGGAAAGGATCTGAACGGTATTCTATGGGGGATAGGTTAGACCAAGCTTTTTTGCATCTGTCGGATTCTGTCCCATAGCGATTTCGCCTGCTGGCAGGACAGCAAGCGATGTGTTAGGGTTTCCAATTGCTGGTCTTGGCCCATCTGACACCATGAGGAGGACTCTGTTATGTCTTTTTTCTTGCGTCTAGCTTCCCTTCCCACCGGGCGTTGACTGGGACCGCCATGTAGATGATTAGCCATTGCAAGCTCCTTTTACTCTATACGCGGTCTGATGGATGCGTAGCAAGTCCAAGGGATTGCCTGCAGCCAAGCTGGGTGGGTCTATTTGGAGGTTTTTCTCCCTCCTAGAAGCAATGACCTGCTGGGGGGGTTCCGCTCTACTACGCCGTATTTTGTATCCTCTTTAAAGTTTTAAATGTGTATTCCTGTAGGGCTATCCATTTCTTGGCTCTACCCCTCCCTCTGTCTTCATACCAGCCCCATTCTATGGGATCTATTTCTAATTCAGATATCTCTCTGTCTGGACTGAATAAGGATAAAGCTATATCTTTCCTTGCTCTGCCTCTTCTGGTTCGCTTTTGTTCATTAAACTTCATTTGGTAATTGCCTAACCTTTCGTAGGTCAAGTGTCTTTTTTTTTCTTTTTTTTTTAAGCCCAGGGTGTTGTAGAGGCCAAGGACCAGACCCGTGGTGGTCTAGTGACTCCAGTGTCTTTCCTTGCTATGCCTCTTCTGGATCGCTTTTGTTCATTACACTTCATTTGTTAATTGTCTAACGTTTCGTAGGTCTAGTGTCTTGAATTCTTTTATTTATTATATATATATATTATTTTTATTTTATTTTTTAGTGTCTTGAATTCTAGGTTTATTACTATAAAATATTAGCGGGTCTTTTCTTACTGTCTGAATTGCTTTGTCCGTAGTTTCAATTTCGTGGACGTTGACGCATGCGTTAGGGCCACTGACTCACTGAGGTAAAACTTCACTCTTCACCGCTGCGGAGATGAGGCTATGTGGTTGTCTGGTGCTGAGTACTTTGTGAATTTTAGGGCCACTGATTCACTGAGGTAAAACTTGACTCTTCACCATTGCCCTGCCCGTCTCCCTTCTTCCCGAGTCTATTCTTCCTAAGAATCGACGTTCACACAATGGGTATGCTATCTATTATTAAGTCCTCTAGATTTTTTCTGCAGGTTACGGTGTCCCCTCAGCTTCGCTCTTAGTTCTTCTTCCGCTTTCCATCTCCCGGTTGTGGTCATCCATCCCATACGTGATCTATCTTCCATAGGCCCTTTTCTACCCTCTGTCTCCATCTCTTATCCTTCCCTAACAGTGTCCATGAGTGGCCATTTGTGTCTTTCAGGAGGTCATTGCCGAACGAGCGTTGTCTCAAAATTTCCTCTTTTATTCTTGGTCCTCTTGGTCCTCTTTTCCTCTGTGGGACCATTGCTTCTCTCCAAGTTGAGATTATCTTTGTCCAGTGTGTTACATGCTGCGCCTGCAACAGGCTGCACGGGCCATTTCCAGGCCCATGACGTTTTCAGGCCAAAAACCTGAAAACAAGGGCCTACAGGCCCTGTGTCGTTTCAGCCTGAAAGCCTGAAAACAAGGGCCTAAAGGCCCTGTGTCGTTTCAGGCTAAATCAGGGCCTTTCCGGCCCTGAGTGTTTTCAGCCTGAAACTGAGGGCCATTTTTGGGCCCTCATCGGTTCGACCTGCCTTGAAACTCAGGCAACAAACCAGGGTTTTAGCACAGGCCATTTCGGGCCTGTTTTCAAGACAACCCCTGGTTGAGCTTCAACGCCAGGGTCTGGCACGTTTCGGCATTGGCAAGAGCAGCCTCCTGGACGKGCCAGCACTATATAGGACTGGCCCGCCCTGCAGGCAGGCAGGTAGTTCCTAGGTACTTCCCAGGCACTTCACGTGCAGTTCAGGAGGCAGGAGGTAGTCTTCAGGATTCGGCAGCAGCACTCTGGAGGAGCGCTGCAGTAGTAGTGGTAGCTTTAGCAGTAGTCCTCAGCGCTGGGCGCTAGTAGCGTTAGCAGTAGTCTTCAGCGCTGGGCGCGTAGTACTAGAGAGAGAGAGAGAGATTGGGCGGAGGCCAGGGGTACTTACCTGCACCGCCAGTGCTCCAGCTTTGTCTTCGAGGTACCTGCGGCACAGCGCCATCTTCACAGGTTAGTACCTGGCACATGAGAGAGAGAGAGTTCTTCTTCTTCCTCTTGTCAGTCCACCATCTCCTTCTCACCCTCTCGCTATATCTGACTTCACTGCATCAGCAGACTACGAGGGGGAGAGAGAGAGCTTGGTGACATTTGGATCCAGACTCGACGTTGGACTTCAGACATTTTGAAGAGGGATTATTTGGGACTTGTAACGAGACGTGGTGTTGACGACTTTCCCATCTCCCCCTTCCTCTTCTTCGTCTGATCCCCTCCTCTTCGTCTGTGTATGTCTGGACCTGGCCCCTTCACACCTTGTGATGAGCATGATGTATGTTTGGTCTGTGTTGAAACATTGATTGGCCTAGTCATTAGTACTCTAGCATTCTGCTTCGCTATCTTGTACTACGTGAAAGAGGTCAGTCCCGGTCAGGTCAGGACTTGTATCTAAATCTTCCACTGCGCTATAAAACACCATTTGTATGTATCAGGATGTACACTGCTTGTTGAGATTCTACTTGCACTGCATTGTCCATTCAGTCCTTTTTATCACATTGCGGATCCTCGGTTTTACATGTACATCGCCCAACTGGGCATGTAACAAGTGTCTACTGGGGGGGTCTCTATTGGCTGGACCTCTTGCTGGTCTACTGCTATTTCCGTCTTTCCTAGGTGACCAATGCCTGTTCATGATCCAGCTGTGGCCTTCTATGCTCTCATATGCTTTCAAAAGGCAGCAGGTTCCTTATTTGGTGTTGGGCACTGTAGGGCCATTTCTTGCCAAGGTAGCTCTAATTTCAATCAATATAATTAGCCCTTAGTACCCCCTTCATTTGTAGAGCCTTTTTGTATTCCGTGGCCGGATCTATGTGGCTGAGACCCCCTCTATTTGCAGGGTTGGTTACATACTTCCATGCCACTTTGGTTATAAATTTGTCCTTTGTTGCGTCACCTGTCCATAGATATGCAACCGCCTTTTTCTTCTTCAAGTCCTTGGTGAAGTTCTTCGGAGGGTCCCAGATTTCTGCTGCATACCAACCCATTGTTATTAAAAAAAAATAAATAAAAAAAAAAAAAAAAAAAAAAAAAAAAAAAAAGGATCGAAACTGCGAAAGTGTTGATAACCAGGGCTCTACCCATTAGGGAGGTATATATCCTCTCTGCCATCCAGTGAACTTATTCATCATGGCCGCCAGCAAGTTTTTTTTTTCTTCTTCTTTTTACTGCTATAGACTAGTATAGAGTCCTTAGTTCCGACTATAGACACTGCTATACTTAGGAATTTGAAGGAGGCCTGTGGATTCAGCCATTTTACCCTACCCTCTGCGTGGTTTGTGTGTTTTTTTTTTTTTTTGGGGGGGGGGAGGAGGGAGGAGGGTGTGTCTGCGTTCCACCACCCCACAGTTTTGCTCCAGTTTATTTTCGTTTCTGAGGCTAATACTCGCATGGCATTCATTTTTTATATGGGACGCTGGACCCGTTTTCCAGCAGGTGATGCTCCCCACCAGTAGATGGAGCCTCTCTCTCTCTCTCTCAAAAAAAATAATAATAATAATAATAATAATAAATATCACATTACATGTCCTATTTCTAGACAACGGCCGGAATGGCAATGTCTTTAAAACGGCTGCCGCCGTGGCTCCGTGTGCCTGGGATGCGGGAGCCCATGTTGCCTGGGGGGTTGCAATTCTGCTCTGCTGGTGGGTATTCAGGACCCAATGAGGTTCCTCTTTCCGCTGCTTTTCTCCTCCTTCCTCCCTCCATCCACCCTCCTCCTTCCCTTCCTTCCTCCCTCGGCCCCGCTTAGAACTACTCAATGCATACGAATGAGCATAGATATAAGAGAACAGACAAAATATAAGCTGCGCTTGTGCTGAAAGGCAAATGGGTGTGTACGCACCCGATGCTTACGTACACAGACAAGGTGGGCCTTGCACCTTTTCAGAATACAACGATGAGATGGCCGCTTCATCTAAAGATGGCATTTATCAAAACATCCATCAAAACTATCACACAATACCTGACACAACATTTACAAGGTAAGGCTATATTTCAATCTTGGATCCATGCATCTGGGTGGAAAAGGGGCTCTACTTGTTCTATTGTCACTATTAACAATCTACAACAAGCACAAGTGAACTTTACAGAGAGAGGTCTTCTGATAACACACACACACACACACACACACACACACACACACACACACACACANCACACACACACACACACACACACACACACACACACACACACACACACACACACACACACACACACACACACACACACACACACACAGACTCGAAGTTAACGCACAAGTGGACGCTGACACACGGAATGTTGTTGTTCATGTGTTGGCAACAGATCCCTGGAGTTGCATCAACCTGCAATGTGCCTCTTGTACAGTTGGAGTACTTCAGTCAATTGTTTCCCTTGAACCCTGGAGGAATTGTTCCCGTAATGCCAAGGCGATCAGAAGAGGCATGGCTTTCGATGCCACATTCCCGACTTTCGCTTGTAAAAGACATGACTGTGCCATGATTGTAAAGGAAGCAACTTTCACTTGGAGGAAATCGCAGTTTCGTGGAATCTATCTGGTGGATTTGAACTCTAGTGTCCAGATATGTGTATGTAATATGTATTATTCAGCCAGCCTTCAGGTACTACGGAGGCAAATCCTTTGAGGTTGGATTTGTTTTTTTTTTTTTTTTTTTTAAGCTGCCTTCTCTGCGTCGGGGGACAGCCATAAAATTTTCTCTCGCCGCACCTATTTTCGCCCCTTTTCTGCCCCCGCAATTCCCTGCTAACCCTGTTCACCCACACAACGACAATCTCTTCCCACCCTCGTTAACCAACCCATTATTGAGCTAGACCCCTACAGGTTTCTGTAGGGGTTGGAACCGGATGGCTGACACTGTGTGCAGTGTATAGTTATTTGCTAGGGACTATAGCATGGACATGTAATGCCTATGCCTTGTTAGGAGTTATGTATAGTCATGCTATATTGGCTAGTGGCTATTAGCTATTGGATATAGTTTATAGTGCAGAGCATGTACAGCTAGCAGGTCTAGACTGTAGCCCAGTTAAATTTTTTAACCCTGTGACTGAATGCTGAAGAATAACCTGTAACCTATAACCTACAGCCTTAGCCTATAGTCTATAGGCTATACAGGTATAGGCTATAGTCTATAGGCTATACAGCTGTAGAGTTATGTCCTATATGCTATACCCCCATTAGGCACCATAGTCATGTCCTCTTGCATGTAGTCTATAGGCTGTGGCTTGTACCATGTGATCATTTGTCCTAAGTTGTCTGATGAAAACATAAGTATGTTCTGATTTTCCTCGAACAATAGGACCAGCGTGTATATCCTCCTATAACACGCGAGCTATAGCGTATAGCAGGTTGGCAGGCAGATTCATGTCGTGTTAGCAGCAGTTAGCCGATGTTTTTTTAGCCCACAGCATAGCTGAATGATAACTAAATAGTAAATAGCATTATTAGATTTATTATATTCCATATTCGAAGCTGCCTTACTTGTCCACATTCGCATGCAATGCGGTGTGTGCAGGGCCTCAGTGTACAAAGGGTTAGGCATGGGCCTCCTGCTGCTACTCGTATCAACCAAACTCCATATTGGATTTTTATTTATTTATTTATTTATTTTTATTATTTTATTTTTATTTTATTTTATCTTTTGTCAGATTGCCTTTTGTGGTGTGTATATTATCAGGTTGCCTTTTCTGGTGTACACGGCTACAAAAGCCTACCCGTTTTCCTGCCATCAAAAGAATGGTCATATTTGAATGATATTTCTTAAAAAAAAAAAAAAAAAAAAAAAAAGCCCCTCATGGAGAAGGACAGTTTGATTAGTTTCTGTCACACTCTGGGGCGAGGTCCCACTAGCAACGGGATAGGATAGAAACGAGTTTGTGGGGCAGTTGAGTGACCCAAATCCTGCCGTGCAGTACTCGTGATCCCACGGTCTTGTATTTTATTACCCGAAAAAGTAAGGAGATCTTTGTTCCCCTCCTGCTCTCCTTAACACTGTGCATGCCCGTGCAAAGAAAGCTTCCTGCCAGAATCTTTTCAATCGGTGGGGGGTGTGGTCCCAAAGGAGGGTGGGGTTGGCCTTAGCCCCACTGGATAGAAGATTTTCAGTATTTTACTTGCTGTTGTGCAATTATCTCATTGGGTGGAGCCCTCCTTCAATCACGGAGTATATGGAGGGTGTCAGGATCAGTGCTGACAGAAGTCAAGTTTATTCCAGAAAATGTGGTGATTACTTTGTTCACTGTTGTTGCAACCACCACCATCAGATCATTTGTGATCTGATGGCTGGGAAGCAGTCTGCCGTGATTTCGGGTGGGAGGTCTCTGTTTTTTGTTGTTTTTTTTTTCCCTTTCTCCTGTTTTCTCACCCCAGAAATTCGTAATGAACCTGTCAGGATGCTGCCACTCAGTGTCACACTGGATCGGCCACGCTCCTATCCGCCTGCTAATGGGACCTCGCCCCTGAACTGGTGATGTTGCTGATCTTTGCTATACATATTACATTCCCTTTCTTTCCCCCTCCCCCCCCCCTCCTTCCACTCCCCATCTTCTTCGTGTTGGCCAACTTGGCCATGTATTACCCAAATGACGGCTGAGGTTCCTTCTTTTTTTTAATTTTATTTTTTTTTGTTGGGGG